CTGTCGTCTGACAGAGTTGAAGTCTCAGTTCCCTCCCCAAAACCTGCTCCAGCGTTCCCCTGTCATTGGTGGTCCAAACACCAGGCATGCCAGGATCTGCTCTGGTGCAGGAAGGGTTTATGGTGACAGCAGGGGGTTGGGGGCATGTGGCCCACAGCCATTCAAGGATGGCCTTGGCTTGGTGGCCCTCAACAATGCCTGGCATGCTGGGAGATGTGCAGGAGTGCTCCCTCAGCTTCTGACCTTGGCCAGGCAAGCATATATTTCCTCCCCCACTCCCCCGCCCCAACCCCTCACAAAGGAAAAATGTGTTTCTATTCTCTCCTGATCCAATCTACACAGCTTGGAGAAACCCGCATAGATTGAACTGATTCCCCCTTGGGCTTTTTGATGGTCTGTGCTTAGCCAAAATGGTATGTTCTTGGGTCTTGGAAAATAGTTAAAGAACAGGTGAATTCAATTATTTCCTTAACCAGGTGCAATTTTTCAGAGTTAGTTCAAACGGAGTGTTTGTGGTACAGACTAAAATTAAACTAGAAGAAGCATTACCATGTTAAATATCTATATGTCCCATATGGGACAATGTGAAATCCAGGACACTGCCTCCCCCTCCCCCCACTCCCCCACCTCTCAAGTCAGCTGCACTGCTGCAGACAGAAATGGGAGCAGGGTAGGGAAGGGCAGGGCAGGGTAGGGTGAGGTGGCATGTTTGCAGCTCTGGTATTCAGGCAGCTAAATGAGGTACTGGCCCATTAATGATCTATTGTTCTTTAGTTCACAGGTGTTAACAACCATCTCCCTTTTTTAATGGTTATTCCATTAATCAAGCAAATCTATTTTAGGGCAATTTTGCTGTTATTTTACAACTCATACCACTCCACCTCCCTGTCCCAAGCCTGGGATGCTCATCTTAATTTTCACCTGCCGGCCAGGACTGGCATCCAAATGTGGGACTGCCCAGGCCTAACCAGGACATATGGTCACCCTATCTATAGGAACACAGGACTACAAGGAGCTTCCTAGGTTAGGGAGTTCAGTTCCCTGCTATCATTTTTTTCTTGTGTTTGAAAAATCTCTCTCAAATGCTACACATATACAATAGACCCCAGTCCTGAAAGGTACAACATACTTATGACTGCCAAGAACTTTAACGGGAGCTGAAAATTATTACAGAACATTCAACATCTCTTGGGATCAGGAGTACATTGTATACAAAGAGACTTCAGATATGTAAAATATTAGCAATATTAAAATAATAGCATATTTTAGAATTAAAATCTGAAGTATCAAATATAAAAACAACAGAAGCTATGTATAAGTATTGAAATATTTTACTTAGGATAATTTTATTGTCAATAGATAATATTGTAACAGAAGAGCTGCTACAAATTCCCATAAGAAATATTATTACATTTCTTCCAAAAAATAATATCTCAATCTACAGAAAGTTAGTTTGCTGAGAAAGATGTAAATCTGCTCCAGGCGTAGCTATAAACAGAATGACTGTTGAACTGAAATGTGTTTTTAAACCTAAAAGAATGACTTACACAAAACCATTCATTGATTTGAGTTGTTTTCCTTCTCATAGATGTTTTTCTGTAGATAGATCACAATCCCCATTATTTCTTTATTACCAAATATGTTCAATACACATCAGATAAACATGTTTCAACTCACAGATTCTAACCAAATTGTTTTCCATCTTAGATATTTTTGATCAGTCAAGCAATGAGATTAGTCATATGGTATTGGTTTTGGTTCTTGAATCTGATGACTTACTTAGCTTTTATGAGTTTATCTACCTCCCCTGAGGCAAACAAAATCTTGGCTATGGGATCAAAATAGTTTTCTATGAAGAATAGTATGACCAGAATTTTTCTCCCATAATATATTTTGTGTAACATTTATACATCATTTGTATTATAACAGCTCCAAGAAGCCCCGGTCCCTGACCACAATCCCGTTTTGGTAGGTGTTGCATAAACCTAGAACAAAAATGTTATAGCCTCCAATATAAAGGGATATATACTGAGTTTTTATTTGTTGCCAGAAATCAGAGATAATTTTTCTTACGTAATCCGCATGCACCCAAGTACTGTTCTCCCCTCCCCAGATAGAAGGGATCAGTGGCAAACAGGAGTGCTGTGCGAGGGAGCTGCAATATGCAGGCCAGATCCCTCTACTCCCTATAGAACCAAGCCAGGATAAGAGCTACTTAACTATATACAGATTTATTGATATATACAAAAATTAAGAGAAATTGCTATTAATAAATATATGAGCTATTAATAAATACAGGTGTGTTTATTAATATCAATATTATTAATAGCAATATCACTTATTAATATTAGTAGCAATAATGTTTATATTAATATTATGTTAATATTAATATTATAGCTAAATGTTTATGGTAATATTAATAGCAATAATGTATTAATAGCAATATTTATTAATTAAAAACATACACTTATCATATAATACTATGTCCTACAAATAAAGCCTGAAAGATTACACCCTTCCAGGTAACCCCAAGCAATGTGTTGATAGACAGGTCTAAAACATACAACCAACAGTTAAGCACAGGTGAGTAGGTATACATACAATTAAACAACAGTCAAAACACAAATATACACAGCTAAGTATAGGTAAGTATATATATAAACATCAGGAAAGGGGTCCCAACGGTGTCCCTTAAGAAGTTTATACTTAACACTCTATTAAACAACTAATATATAAAGTTAAAATGTCCACAAAATACAAGGCAGTGTTACAGACTAGGAGGCACTCTCCCACAAAATATAAGGCACCTCAACAAACAGTTAGCTCAAGCTTCCCCAAGGATAAACTGCCTCACAGCCATGGTAGCTCTCCTCCCCTGTAAGAATCCCTTCCTGAACAACTCACGACTCCAGGGCCTGGACAGGGGTTCCTTGTCCCTTTGGCCAAGGTGCTCCTCATGGGCAAGGCCTCCCAAGCCACTGGCTCTGCTTGGGATGCTGCCCACAGGTGGCCCTGTGCTCTGCCTTCTCCTGGGGGTTGGAGGCTTGGGCTGCCTCATGTGGTGCCAGGTCTCAGTTTGTTCCCGGATGCTGCATGCAGCATTGCCTGCGCTGAGTTCCCTGGCTGCTTGCCAGGGATCACAGACCTAAGCCAACTCAAACTGCTCCCTGGGTCTCAAGCTTCATGCACCGCTGCATGCACTGAGGTTCTGGCCACATGCTGGGGGATCTCAGACCCGAGCCACCTCAAGCTGCTCCCAAGGTCTCAAGCTTCGTGCACTGCTGTGTGCACTGAGGTCCCAGCTGCTTGCCGGCAGTTGCAGACCTGAGCCGCCTTGTGCAGCTCCCAGGGTCTTGGATCCACGCACTGCTGAGTGCACTGGATCCCTTGCCTCACACCAAGGGTTGCAGACCTGAGCCACCTTTAACAGCTCCCAGGGTCTGTGCTCTGTGCACTGATCTGTGCACCAACACCATGTTCCCCACAGTGGAGCTGGGGACTTAGCCGCTCCCGCTTGGGAAGAGGCATCTTCAGGCTCTTGAGGGCACTGGTTCTGCCTGCTAGCCAGCTCACACCAGCTCTTCGTTGTCCATTCTATTCTCCGTCCTTCAATGCATCTCCCATGCGCTGGGCAATGGAGCTCCTTTTATTCACTCCAGAGGCTCCTCCCTGGAGTGTTGTTGGACCTCCAAAGAGCAGGCTACAACCAGGTCTGGGGTTCTCCACTCTCCCCGCATCCCCCGAGCAGGGGCAGGGCAAGCCCCTTCCTAGCAATACCTGATTAGTGGACAGACTCCAGCAATCATAATGAAGATTCTGTGAGCCCGGACATGCCAGGCTGTATTGGTAAGTCTCCCACACTTATTTTTCATTCAGCTTTGGCAGTCAGTGTATCTGGATACAATCGGTCTGTTTATTGTGTTAGTAATGCATAGACTATTAGCTCTAAAGTGCTTATATCTTACTACATTTGTGGATTGGATTCCTTCTAGGCCCTGTTTGTTCTAAGAGCTTGAGGCCGCCATCATGTGTTCTGAAACTAGACCTCCTGGGAAGGAAATACTTCTTTATGATTTTTTAAAGAGTTATGGATTCTTAATTGAGTAGCACAGTTTTCTGTGCAAGAAAAAATACCACTGTTGAGATGTTGAGAAGAGATCTTCAAGGACTTGGCCCAAAGAACTTTGCTTTTGTATTGAAAATTCAAAGGCAATTTTAGAAAAAGAAGTTATAGTAGTGAATTTTGATCTGATATTATGTATCACTTGGGAACAATTGATGGCAATTAAGAAAAAAAGCTTTCTGTGAACAAGTTTTTCTTCATTTTCCCTGTTTTTATGTTAAAGATCAATATTATATACTAAATTTAATCCTTGTCCTTTTTTTTCTTTTTTTCTTTTTTTTAAGTATTTGCTTCTTTATGGATAAATTGAGAGTTTGAGCAGTGTTCCAGATAGCACCCCTACACAGACCTTTGTAAATGGGCTACAGAGTACTCCTCTCTCTCAGATTCAGGCCAAATGTAGGGGTCAACATTAAAATAAAACACTCAGAATTAGGGGAAATGCAGATAATCTTGCTATGCTAGGAGATCAGCACGCTGAAGAAAATAGTAGCAGGAAGAAATTGAAACAGGGGCACCCAAGCAAGCTCTATAAAGCCTATTTAAACAGAAGATTAATATCTATTACAATATGCTTTATTAACCATGATCCACATTACAAAAATAGGTTCGAAACTCATCCTAGAGATCAATCTCTGACATATAAATAGCAACTTGAAACATTACCTGTATTATTTTAAGGCACACTTCTGACTGCTGTAGAGCAATCCTACACGATATTTGTTCTGCAGGGATGAATCCAGGGCTGCACTGTAGGGCTGTGTGAAACTTCGGTCCCTGTTTCGATTCGATGGAGATTCGGCCCAATTCAGTGGCTGAATCTCTGAATCCAAATCGAATCAAGAGACCCTCTAATCTCTCCAGATTGAATTGGAACCCTCTGAATTGATTCAGAGAGATTTGGAAAGATTCGGTGATTCATAGTTTCATAGTTGGTAGGGTCGGAAGGGACCTGAGCAGATCATCAAGTCCAACCCCCTGCCATGGGCAGAAAAGAATGCTGGGGTCAAACAACCCCGGCTAGGTGATTATCTAGCCTCCTTTTGAAGACCCCCAGGGTAGGAGCGAGCACAACTTCCCTTGGAAGTTGGTTCCAGATCCTAGCTGCCCTGACTGTGTAGCAGCGCTTCCTGATGTCTAGCCTGAACCTACTCTCAGTCAACTTGTGGCTGTTATTCCTAGTTACTCCTGGTAGTGTTCAGGGGAACAGGGATTGTCCCGTTCCCTGCTCGTCCCCCTGAATCGAATTGCGTACTGTGATCTGAATCAACTAATTGAATCACTGTCCCTGATTTGGGCTGAATCCAAAATGAATAGGACCTGTTGCACACACCCCTATTGCACTGGTGCAATTGCACCCTGCTTTGATTCCTGCTCCATCCAAAAATTAAAATCAACTGCCTGGCAGTGGCAGCAGCATTTCTGGTCAGGCAGTGCTGAGGGAGTTGCTTGACTACATGGCTCATTACAATCTACCTGATCATTTCTCATCTCTTCTTTCCACAGGTGTTACCAACTCTCTCCTTTTTAATGGTCTTGATGTTCCATTAATCAAGCTGTCCTCAGTTCTGCAATTCTGCTCTTCTGCTGTACCAATGGTTCCTAGTAATGAAACTCCTATTTCACAGACCTGAAGTTTTAAACTCATTCCAATGAAGTTATATTTGTCTTTGCTTCAATCTTAAATTGAATAATACAGCCCTAGGCTCCAAGTGTATTAATAAAGCTTCTAGTTTATTTTTAACTGGTGTGATGATTCACCTTGCCATCTGCACCCCCACTTTCAAAATTCTAGATCTGCCCATGCTGTTCTACAATGTATGTTTACATAAATACAATAACTTATGAAGAAACAAATTCAGTTTATAATGCATCCAAACTAGAACAGCAGTTAGCTGAATATTAATATGAAATATTTGGAGGTTTAGGGAATGTTTTTACTTATGTCTCAAAGAATCTACAGTTAGAGTTCAACCTGGCAAACTGCCAGTTAAACTGCAGAAATTTCTATTGGTCATCACACTGGGCTAATTGCTCCTGCAACCTAAAAGAAAGAAATAACTCTTCAATACACTGAATTGCCAAACTTTTTTTCTTCTGATTTACCAAAAATGGTTTTATAAATTGTCCTTCAGACTTTTAAAAGCTTGTGAGCTAGCTATCAAAACACAATCTAATCTATCCCAGCATCATGCATTAGAGGGTTTAAAAAAATCTAGGGGTGCACCGATAGAGATTTTTGGGGCCAATACTGATAGGTGATTTTAAAGGAGGCATATTGGCTGATACCAGTGCGATTTCTGATATGCAGCCTGGCAGCTTGAAGAGCAGTGTCCAGCTGGTAAGTCTGTTGTGGTGGAAGGGGAGAGGGAGGGTAAGGGGCATAGGGAAGGGTGATCAAGGCCCCTGCAGTGAGGGAGGGATTGGGGCTGGAGCTGGAGCTGGGGCTGGGGCTGGAACAGCCCAGCCAGAATGGGGCATGCCATGGGACAAAGCTGCAAGTGGCTTGTCTGGGGAATGTGGGGAGGAGGGGGCGGGTCCCACTGCTGTGCGCACACTGGGAGAACATGGGGTGGGGCATGTGCCCCTTAGATCTGCACAGGGTGGGCCGGGCGGCTGCTGTAGGCTGGAACTGAAGGCAGGGCTGTGCCAGGCTCTTCCTGGTGGGGGCTGGGCCAGGTTGCACTTGGGGCAGACAGCAGTGGCACTGGGAGGGAGTTATGGAGGGGTTGAAGCCACCCCAAAATTTGCCATAGCCCTCCCAATGCCACTGCCTGCCCTATACACAGCCTGGCCCAGCCCTGGCTGGGAAGAGCCCGGCACACCAGCAGCCCTAATCCGCAGCTGCAGCCTGCCCCACCCCGTGCAGAGCTGGGGGCACACCCTCCCCCCGCCTCCCAAGGTGCTTGCAGCGGTGGGAGCCGGCCCCCTCACCCATGCCCCCAGATGAGCTGCAGCTCCATCCCACACCTGCCCCACCCTGAATGAGTAGCACCTGCTCCAGTCCCACCCCAGCCCCACTCCCTCCATCACCGTAGGGCCTTTAAGTTCCCCCCCCATGCTCCTTCCCTCCCCCACCCCACTCCTTCCACCACAACAGACTTATCAGCTGCATGCAGCTCTCCACACCGCTGTGCTGTGCTGTGCTGTGCTGTGCTGCTCACTGCCTTTGTGCTGCACTGTGGCTGCGCATAAGCACAGGGCATTTATCAGCCACATTATTGGCCACATTAGGCTGATTTCTGATACAGTCTATTTTCTTTATATTGGTGCTGATCTGACATGGGACCAATGCACCTCTAAAGAAGGTATCAGTGCACCTCTAAAGAAGTCACTATATTTTAATGGTTTAAATAATTCTATAATTCTGTTATGGAAACATAAGTACAGATTTTGAATTGCAAGTTACATGCCAGATGAACAAGTGGATGAACAAGTGGAAGGGTTACTAAAAACACCCCAAACACTTAAAAAGAAAAATTATGAAAAGAAAATTTAAAAACTAAACTAACATTGAATTGTAATATAGCTTTAAAGATATAGCCACTAACAGGTATGGCTCATTTTCAATTACTTGCTTCTTAGGAAAAGTAAAGTTTCCAGTAAATCACTTTTTTGTGTTTATATTCCATCTGGGTATGTGAGGAAATTTAATCACACACAAAACTCTCCCAAATATTTTTTCTCTCATTGTAGCCTGTGTTTTATAGCCAGCCAGGAGAAGTTTCAGTGTTTTAACAAAAGTAGTAAATACCATTAACATTCCACCACAGGACTGCATCATTCTACAAAATTTTGCAAGGAAAGTGCCATTGTAAGACAATGGCATATGGAAAAGAAGCATATTGCATACAGCTTTATGTATTATAAGCAGAAAATGGTATATTTAGCAATAGATCATCATACTGATGGAAAGTCAGCATTAGTGGCATAAACTGATTTGCCAGAGAAATATTTTTAATTATCCAATTGATTTTCAAAAAGAGATCTCAGAAGCCTTCCTCTTATCACCATACATGTACCACTACTGTCCTGAAAATCAATCTCTGGTGCATAAATTGGTGTAAATCAACAAGTTTCCCTGTGCAGGGCATTCTGTTGTCATCATAGAGACTATGGGTTGCCAACCTTACCATGTTTCCCTCTTGATACCTGCCCTTTTAAGATGTTATTTTACCACCCTTTGTTAGCCACTGGGCTTTTTATTAGCTCAGGTGAAAAAGAAAAAGGAATCGGGTTAGTAAATCACACTTGTTACACAGGGGTGTATGTTACACATTAATTTTAGGCACATCAATTTTAACACTCGTTACACGAGTGTTAAGGCAGCTCCTGGCTCTTAACCACTAGACTGTCCACACTTAAACACCTGAAACTAATTTTAAGCACGTTAGGTGACTTAGTTACCCCACTCCAGTCTAGGTTTCTCTCTGATCCACATTACTCAACTCGGGTTCTACTAACATGCAACCCCCCTAGGCAACATATTAATGTAAACACTCAAACACCCCACACTCCACCTGCCTACCCCCCCACCCACTGGCCTGACTTGGGCCAAGGCTTTCCGGCTTTGTTACACAGTAATTTTGGGCAGCTCTTGGAGCTCTTATTGCCTGGATTGTTCACACAGTAACACCTGAAACTAGTTTAAGCATTCATTATGAGGTTTAAGGTGAAGCCACTCCAGGAGAAGATTACCTCTGACCTGTGTTACCCAGGTCATGTTACACTAAGATGTAGCTACTGTAGGCTACAGCCTTATGTAAACATCCCACCTGTGCCCCAACCCCTGGCCCAGATCAGATCTACTGCCTTCTTCCCCACCCTCCCCCAGCACCCAAGAACCCTGCTCACTGCACTCCCTTCCCTACCTTCCCCTACCAGAGGGTAGCAACATCAGCAGCGGCCAGGCTTGCAAGTTAACTCTTCACTGCCTGCTCCCCAGTAGAGGCAGGCAGCCACAAGTTTATAGGGACAGAATAAAATTCTAGAATAGGAGGTGGGATTCTTACTTTTTAGTCCTCTAGCCCCCTGGTGGCATAAATGTGCAACTGCTCCAAGCTCGAGCTAGCACTAACACTGATCAACTTGTGGTTGTCTCACAGTGTAAAGTGTAACAAGGCCTTCAGAACTTAAAGTTAATTCTAAGCCTATGGGTGTATGTGCTGCTAATTTTCAGAGACGGATTCACAAACATTAGGTGACCTCCAGAAATAGAGAAGATGTAAAGCATTTTAAAACTTCTGCCTACCATGATTTCCAGTGAAATGCAATCAATGCTTTGCAAGTGCACTCACTGATGACACACAGAAAAAGCAGACTGGCCACCTAATTTCTTCAGTTTAAAAGAAAGAACAAGGATTCACATGTTTGCCAGCTGGACACATTTAGCTGAACAGATCTGTGCCTATGTACACATGGGCTGTATTTATACTTAAGTTTGTGAAAATCCAGATGAAGCCTTCAATTTGTCTTGGCCACAAATTGAAGGCTTCCAGAGGCAAAGCGCCCAGCTCTCTGACAAGTGCTGAGCTCTGTAAATCAATGGTAAGCATATGAAAATAGCTAAATATTAAAACTTCTTTGTTATCTTGCATTAACAGCAGCAAAAGAGAAAGAAAAGATACTCAGCCCACTATGAATGACGTGTGCCCCTGGAGGCTGGGAGGGCACAGCAACCACCTGCAGGTGGCGGCAGCATGGCAACAGCAAGCAGGCAGCTGTGGTGGTGTCAGCGGCAAGGGTGAGCCAAACAGGGAGCTCCCGCAAATGGCCACAGGGGTGTCAGCGACAGGGTGTGGAGAGGTGGTGAGCACTGACCAGCAGTCAACGACCACCCACAAATGCCAACAAGGTGGGGGAGGCAACCAGTGACCACCCACAGGCACTGCTAGTAGCATTGGCAGCGCTTTTTTCAGGGGGTGCACTCCCAATCTCAGGGGATGCACATGCACCCCCCACACATCACCAATGCAGCCCACTAAAACCTTTCAACATAGTTCAAAAAGGCAGAAATGATACAGGCTGGTCCTAGAAGTCCCATATCTGATGGTGACAGGGTTCCCAAATTCAGGAATGTTAGAAGACAGGCATAACGGCTGCCCTTCAGAACCCTTTTGCAAGGCCTGACAAATGGAAGCATGCTAGATGCAGAATTACACTTCAGAGATTTTGGGTTGTGTTTCAGCACAATGAATTTAGACAGGCTGATTGGTGATCACTTACACTGAAGGCATGACAAGTCTTTGCACTGAGGAGCCAGAGCATGCCTTTTCCCTCTTCACCCATCTGTGCCCACAAGCATGCTTTAAAACCGTAAGTATACTAATGAGAGCTCCTTTTTTGCTGATGCTGCATTCACCGCCCATGAAGAAGGCCAACTACAAATACTCAGGAATTGTTTCTCCCATGTTTACAGGATGTTTGTCCTGATCATCAGCATCAGGAAGACTGTAGTACTAGAACAGGATAATTGCCAGTCACCATCTATCAGCCCACCTCTCAAGGCAGTGTATAAGTTCTGCTACCTTGGACCCACAGTGAGCAATAACTTATCACTGGATGAAGAGCTAAATGTGAGCATTGGAAAAACAATAAAACACTTTCAGTAAGCTCACCAAATGAGTCTGGAACAATACATAACTCACAATCAAAACTAAGCTGCTTGTGTACAAAGACTGCATCCTCAATGTCCTTATGTATAGCAGTAAGACATGGTCAACATATGCACATCAAGAAAAGAAGTTGAACAGCTTCCACCTATGCTCTTTATGATGCATGCTTGACATCAAGTGGCAAGAGAGAATCACCCACACAGAGGTCATCACCAAAGCCAGCCTGCCAACCATCACTGCCCACTATTCAATCAGTGGCATCTATGCTGGCTTGGCCATCTTTGGAGGATGGAAGATGAGCAAATCCCGAAGGACATCCTCTATGGGCAAATTGAAGATGGGGAGAGAAGAGCAGGGCACCCAAAACTGTGCTTCAAAGACATCTGCAAGCAGGATATGAAGGCTTTTGGAATAGACCTAAACTTTTGGAAGGTCTTAGCAGGAAACTAAGTGGCAAAGTGACAAAGTGGCACTCCCTTCTCAATCATGGGGTCCAACATCACGATGAGAAATGGTCACTTGAATTAGAACAGAAATGTGACTGAAGGAAATAGCCTGTCAGTACAATAGCCCCTAACACCATGTATACCTGTGATCACTATGGCAGGACCTACAAGTATATCATTGGCCTGTACAGGCACAAGAGAAAGTGTAGAAAGCTGCAATATCCACTATCACTCACTGAAGTATGGATGCCAAAAACAAACAAACAAAACTCTGTCTTTGACTGGCCTGATTGCAGGTTCTGGGAACAAACCAGGAGCAGCCTTATTGACATACTTCCAAGTTGGGAGCAAAATAGCAAATGGACAGGACAGGCATGAGCCCAGGACCCTGCATGCTGACCCTGCCACTCACCCAAAGATAGTCTAATTTTTACAGAAATCTCTGTAGTCCAGAGATTCTCAACCAGGATACTGCAGCACCCTAAGATGCTTTGAGATCCTTTTAAGGTGCTGCAGGATACCACACAATGTTAGCACACTTAGGTGTGCAAACATGATTCACAACATAAACCCAGAGATTTCAAATAGGACTTCGTGGTATTAAAAACATTCTGACCTGTTGTTGTCTTTCCGAGTTCCCTGCACCAGAACAATTCCTCTATTACTTTTCTTTAGTACAAAAATAGCTGGCATTTTCTGAGGGTCTCCTCAAGTCAAGGGACAAGTCCCTCAAGTCAAACAAGGGGGTTCCAAGCCTAAAAAGGTTGAGAACTATTGCTCCAATCCTTTTTGGTAGTTGGGATATGTGCCCTGAAGAGGCTTAGCTTCAGAGACAAAAAGTCTTGAGTGGTTTGTAGATGTTCTTGTTCTGCTACAGAGGCAGCTGGAGCTGTTCACAAACTAAGAGTATCCTTTTCAAGCAACTTAGACCCAGACGAACACCCCAGCCTCAAAGCTGATTGTGATGAGGTACCCGCAGCAGTGACTTGAAATTAAGCTCTTATTCCACTTAATTTTGAATTATGTGGTGCATCTCCAAGAGACGTAGTCCAGAATCCCACAACATAGGTAGGCTAGGCAGACTTTGATTTTTTTAAAACTAATTTTATTAAAAAAATCATGTTTAAGCTATCGGCAACCAGTGCCACCTTAGTCAGGGGGGTCCCCCCACAGTTGATCTTGCCGACTGGGGGAGGGAGGGCCCCAAATTTCAACAACCGGGAAGTGGTCACGGTGCTCCTGGAAGTGGCTGCAGCATTTCATCTGGCTCTCCCATTCCCTGGCCAGCGCTCTCAGGGGGGCACATTGGTACTCCTGCCAGCTCCCCACCCATTACCTAAGTGGGGAGCGCAGCCTGTTAGGAGATGCACCAGCACTCTCAGGGGGTGCATGTGCACCCCCTATGTATCGCCACTGGTTTAAGCATTTACTTCAATTCTTATTAATTTAAATTTTCAGGATGGCATAAATTAAGGGTACGGGGGCAGGCAATTTAATAATTACAGTATACTATTATTACAGTGTAGTTTAAATGCTGGCTGCAACACATGTAACTACTGTAGAACTGCTGCTGAGTAGCAGAGCTAACATCAAGCCCAGGTCCACCTGCCTGTAGCTCCCCAGTCCCCTTTTTCATGTGCTTTTTCTTTGTTCCCAGTCCCCTGGCATTTCTGGGAGTTGCAGTCCAAACTATAGTCAGCATGGTTTTGTAGTACTGTTCCCCCTGTTGTCATGCACTCCATGAGCCATAATTTTCTTACACCCCCTTTCTATAAATTTTGATTAATGATGGAAATATTTTTTCATCAGTGAGTATGAGGTGGAATCAACATTTATCAGCATTTACTGATAAAAATCTAATCCTGCCAAGCCTAAATATAGGGTTTCTCATTCTTGGAGTTGCAGCTACACAAGCCTTTTCACATAGTCAAATGGAGGGGAGGGGAGGGGAGGGGCGGGGCAGAATACTGGAAGATACCTGGATGGAGGAAATCAAGTGCCACCAAACACCCACTCCCACCCCATTATATTGATTAGGAATATCAAACAAAAGGGAGCTGTATGTATTAGCTGCAATATCTTAAGACAGACCACTGGACTTATCAGCAGACACAAAAAAAATTGCAAGATGCAGGTTCAAAGGAGTCAGAGTTCAGACCATCAACTAGCAAATGTTCCTTATGTCCCTTGCTTATTTGAT